CTGGGGAGAAAGGCAGAATATAAATAAATAATCCCTAACTTAATCCTGATCTAACCTACTTTACAGGGTTGTTTGAAGGTAAAATGGAGAATGGGTAATAATGTATGTTGCCATTGGAAGAGGGTAGGATAAAACTGTGAGAGGACTGCATCCATGTGTGGGGTGGGAATGACTAATTGCTGCTGGGAATACAGAGGCATTTGTGGTGGCAATGGAGTGTTCCTACAAGGTGATTCTCTGGTTTTCCCTCCCCAGTACATCATACCCACCATTCTCCCCTCTCACACTGCCCGGGGGGTTTCCTCCCCCTTTTTTTAAAGAATAAAAAATGTAGTAAGTATATTGCTATAGTGTTATAGTGATTATTATTGCTATTGATTATTATTTTTGAAGCTGGGAAGTAGGAATCATGGGCACAAGGGAATAAAGAGTAAAATTGGTGTCTATAGCCAGCAGAGACGTTCCAAAATCGGCACCTTTCCATTCACAGGGGGGCTAACCAGCTTTGACTCTGATGTTTCCAGAAACATCAGAGCAGCGTTGGAGAAGAGAATGGGAGGTGGTCAGCACTGTATGGACTGTATGGATGCTCCTACTACAGATTTGGAGCTGGGTTGAACCAAAGTGTCTTGGTGGAAGCAGTCACAGATGAATAGATTCCCCTGGAGAATCACCAAATGCCTGACTGGCAGAATCCCATCTACTTTTGCCAGCTAGTGGATCTTAAGTTACCTTTACTTGATTTCCTCCTCTCTTTTCAGATACCACAACTTGTGTCTTCCCCTTTATTTTCGATGGGAAACGCTACTCTTCATGCACCACAGATGGAACTATTGATGAGAAGCTGTGGTGTGCCACATCTGACAATTATGATAAGGACAGCAAGTGGAAACACTGTTCTCTTGAAGGTTATAAATGCAGAATTGTACCTTAAAACCTCTTTCAGGCAATGAATCACCTTTCCCTGTAGGATGTGTTAGCCTGTAGATGCAGAATTATATCAGGCCCATTTCATCCAGTGCTAGCATGACTAGATGTTTACTATCCTTTGTTGCTTCTGCAGGAGCTATAAATGCAAGGAGAGAGAATGAGAGGCAGGCAGGCAGGCAGGCAGGCGGGCGCTACAGGAGCTATAAATGCAAAGAGAGAGAATGAGAGGCAGGAAGACAGACAGATGGACATGTTGCTATTCTAGTAGAGAGTTCCAAGCACAGGGGGTAACAATGAAGTATGAATGAGCAGGACATTTTGGAGCAACTGAAGGTGATAGAATTGGAGAAACAAGGACCATAGAGGCAATTGTTTAATGGGGGGGAGAGAGAGAGACAGAGAGGGAGGGAGAGAGAGAGAGAGAAAATCTTCCAGAATTCCAACTGATGTTCAGACTAGAAAGATCTGCTCCCCTATTTAAAACAGCTGCTTTGGAGAGTGGACTCTATGGCATTATACCCTGCTAAGGACCCTCCCCTCCCCTCCCCAGGCTCCACCCCCAAATTTCCCAACCCGGAGCTGACAACCCTATTGCCTAGTGATCAGCTGTTCACCTATATTTCTCTCCAACATCATGTCCTCAGTGTGGTTTTTCCCCTTCCACATTTTCAGAATACGGAGGCAACGCTGACGGCAAGCCCTGTATTTTTCCTTTTGTGTACAAGAACAGGATATTCTACACCTGTACGGATGAGGGCCAAGCAAAGGGAAGATTCTGGTGTTCCACCACAAGCAATTACGATCTGGAGCCTCAGTGGAGCTTCTGTGCTGACACCAGTAAGAAAAATGGAGGTGGAGGGGCGGTTCCCTGAAATGGATTATAAAGTGGGGTGGGGTAATGTTGCCTGTGTCCCACTTCTTTGAATAGTGGGAATTTCCAGGGGCTGGGCAAAACTACTGGAAGTAGCTCCCTTTGGAGGAAGACAAGACTTCTGATATTATGCCAAAAATGACTACTGATCTCAGCTGCCTAACGTGGTAGATGCCAACTGTGCAGGACCCCTAGTGAGACATTATCAGCTTGAAATATGTTTTGTTTTTAATTACACAGGGAATCAGTGTTTCAGGATAAGGGTGCCAGAGCTGTACAAATATTTAGTATTATGGGCAATGAAACTTTATATTACAACTCTGTAAGCCCATTTCTCTGGAACCAGGGAAATGCAACTTTTCGTGGATGTTACTTACACTTCCAGATGTGATCTTGAACCTACCATAGCTTTTGTTTTATTGATGGATAGCCCACGTTTTCCCCCTGTGAGGACTCAAAGCAGTTTACTTAGTTGTCCTCCTCCTCCATTTTATTCTCACAACAAGAACTCTGTGAGTTAGGTTATGCTGAGAGAATGTCCCTGGCCCAAGGCCACCTAGTGAGCTTCCATGGAAGAGTGGAGATTCAAACCTGGGTCTCCCAGGCTTGAGTCTGACACTCTAACCCACGGGTGTCGGACTCATTTGTTATGAGGGCTAGATCTGATATAAATGAGACCTTGTTGGACTGGGCCATATGTGTCATAAAATATGATGCCAGGTAGAGGAGATATAAACTTTATAAAGGCCACAAAGATTTTTTTTACTAAAAATAAAAACATGTGTAAGACATTATCTCTGTAAGCTGCAAACCTACTTTTGATTTATTGACATTCACCACAGAAATCTCATGCTCAGAGTTCTGAGTCTAGAACCCAGGTTAAAACATGAAATGGCTGAGTGATTAAGAGAGTCTGGGGAAGCAGGCTATGATGCAGCAGCACCAGAACTGGAAGCAGGAGATGACCAGTTCCACTGCGGGCCTGATGGAAGCCCTCTGGGAGCCTGATCCGGCCCCCGGGCTGCATGTTTGACACCCCTGCTCTAACCAACCATTGTTTCCCAGGTTGTAGGCGATGGACTGAAATCCTGCTCATGTGCATGTCCATCTTCTGATGACTTCAACTTTAATTATATCTGGATGTTCAGATCAAATACCATAGATAGAGCTTTCTTGGGCCTCAGCTACTTCATGTTTCAATGGAAACCATTCACAAGTTCAGCTGGCAAGCCAAACCACAGTTAGAGTTTGTGACTGACTAAGCACATGCACAGAGCAAACCTGGCATGGAACAGAGCCAGATGTGTGCATAGTGACCTTGTGAAGTGACTGAGATGAAATATGCACTGAAATCCAACACCCACTCTCTATCCATTGGAGTACTTTGTTCTTATTGTACCAATATTTTCTGAGGAACAGTCTGTCTCTGCCTCCCTCTCCTCTACCCAGGACTAGATGCAAATCCCAAGGGGCCTTGTGTCTTTCCTTTCCTCTACAATGGCACTTCCTACACCACATGCACAACTGATGGGATTTCGAACAAGAAGCTTTGGTGCTCTCTCACCAGCAACTACGATGTAGACTTGAAGTGGACATACTGTGAGGCCTCAGGTAGGAAGAATGGGAGGAGCAGGAGAAAGCTTAGTAATTGATAACAGCCATTTCAGAGCCTTCTTTGTCGATGTAGATTCCTGAGGGCCAAATGAAATGTGGTGGTTGTGATTCCATGTGGTATACGCTGGATCTGTGGGAAGGGTTCAGTTTTAACAGGAAAGAGGGTGTGTGGGGTGAAGGGGCCATGGATTCTCCCTGTACATACCTCTCCACATCCCCTTTGCTTGAAGGTCCTATGTCCAGCTGAACCATAATTGAGTACTGGAGGAAGGCTGAGAAGAGAAGCTATCAGAGAGTGTGGCAGAAAGGTTTTAGAGTTTTCAGCCATGCTCTCCTTTCACTGTTAAAATGCCTGCACTCTCTTTTCCTAGGTGATGGGAAATATTCACTATTTAAATATATAGAAAGGGCACTGGCACTATGTTTGGTCCTTAAGACATTTCTGGATACTTCTAATTTGTGCAAGTGAGATGCCTGTTTTAAGAAGGAGACAAGACAGCTTATTTTATTTGTTTCAGTGTTATATGTTGTCATTGATATTGGTCTCAGTTCCCTTCGTCATTTTGCTGTCATCGATTCTTTTTGTTTCTCTTATGATTTATAGTT